ATAGTGACGACGTCAAGGACTGCCTCTTGCAGGCGCCCGTCGGCGAGGCGGCGGTCCCAAGCGGCCACCCGCTGCTCGGTCGGGGCCGCGTGTCCGGTGAGCTCAGAGTGGCGCAGTTGGCGTGCCAGTACCGGAGGCGATTATGCCGGTGTGTCCTGGACCCCCCGACATCGCAGACCCTCGCGTGCCAGCCCTTCCCGTCAAGGGGTTCGTTGCAGCATTGTCCTGTGCTCTTGCGCACGTGCTGGCATCTGGCCCCGTCGGGGCAGACGGGCGCGTCGAGCCTCATTTTCAGGTTGGCGACGAAAAGCTTGTCTGCCTGCGCCGCGTCGCCAGGCCGCCGAGGCAGTAGGAAAGAACCCGCTCCGGTGCCTCCGCCGGACAGCAGCGAGAGGCGGCCGTCTTCGTCCAGCAGGGTGTTCAAGAGCATGGCCTCGGAGGCGGCTTTGCCCCAGTGCTCCTGCCGCTTGTGGCACGGCTCCCGCAAGTAGTCCAGAAAGCGCAGCGAGGCGCAGGTCGCCAAGGGGGCGAGGAAGGCCAAGGAGGAGCACCGGCTGCGCCGGCAGCCTGGCGGCGGCAAGAAGGACGGCAATAACGACAAGGAGCACCCCTGAGGGGGCGGGGGCGCGGGAGCTGGCCAGCCCGTGCCCCCTCAGTTCAGAGGAGCATGAAGTATTGATATTGATAGTTTTCCAGATTTCCAGGTTTTCCTGTTCTTTCGCGCGGGCTCCAGGGACGGATGGTCGAGCGCATTCCGTCGCGCAGGTTCTTTGCGTGATGTTCGCGGTGCGTTTTTCGCGCATCGGAGCGCCCTCGAAGATTCCAAGCTGCATGCTGTGTTGCTCTTGGGGAGCCCGCGAGTCGCAGCTGCCGTGGCGCTGTTTTCGAGGTAGCCCCTTCGAGTGCTACTCGCGGGCGCAACGCGCGGCGCGCGCTGCGCCCAATAGCGCGCGGCGCGGCGCGTGAATCAGCCGGCCGCGCCCGTCGGACCGCCCGGACATTAGTTCTGGATTGTAGAATGTGTCAGAAAACGCTTCCGCTTTTTCGCGTAAGCGGTTCCGTAATTTTCCAAGAAGTAACCCGAACATTTTCAAAACAAAAAACAGTTCTGAGGGGTGGAATGCGCCCGCCGCGCAGGACATCTGAAGAATTATAAAATCCGGAACTTTTCAAAATGGATTCCGGAATTTTTCAAAATCGACCCCGAAAATGTTCAAAAACGATTCTGGTATTTTTCAAAAAAGTAGGCCGCACATGTTCAGACATTTCCTTGGATTTGTTCAATTTTACCTCCGGAGAGTTTTCCAGAGTCGCGCGTGCTTTGCCTTGCCAGATCTTTGGGAATCCGCCGAGGCGCGCGGTGCGCGGCGGCGGGCGATGGGACGGCGCGCCCCCCCCCCCCTCCGCTCGGCAACGAGAAGAGGGGTCAGCAATTGCCAAATAGCTCCTATACGGGCGACCACTCGATCGCGAATGGGTGACCGACCAGCGGCGCCAGCCAGAGTACACAATACTCGACGCAAAGTGTACCCCGCGCGAAGGCTTTTAGAAATCCCGGAATTTCCGGAGCGTATCAATAGCACGTTGTGTCAATAGATTATTCTCGTCCTATCAGTGGCCACTGCGTGGAATTCTGGACGAGATGAGGGCCGCCCTCGGACAGCAATGCCTGGGCTGCCTGGGACAACGGCGACCGAGCGCCATCGAGTCCCTCGCCGAGAGCTACTTCCAGTGCCTCCTGTCCCGGCCACTCCTCCCACGACTCCTGGAGCCTCGCACTGGAGGCGCTACGAGGCGAGCGCAAAGGTTCAGCAGGAGTGGGCGCGCTTCTCGGATGTGCAGCAGGGCCTCGCCTGCCAGGCAGTCGCCTGGATCCTAGATCGGGCGAGCTCTCTGTCTCTGCCCGCCGCAAGGCCGCCCTCCCGCCGTGCTGCGTCCTCGACCTGTGCGCCGGGTGCGCAGGCGTCGACCAAGCGCTCGCGCGCCAAGGCATCGAAGGCTTCGCGTGGGACACCATCTTCAGCCAAGAGGCGGACTTTGCGAGCTCGGGCAAGATGAGGTGGCTGGCCAGGCGCGTGGTGCAGTGCAACGTGATGCAGCATCAGCGCCAGCTAGCTGCGGCAGGCTGGAGACAGGGCCTGGCGGCGCGTTGCCTCGGAGTGTGGATCGCCATAGCATGTGCGAAGTGGTCCAGAGTTCGTGACCTGCCGCCCCGTCCGAGGATCCGTGATGAAATGAGAATTTGCTGGGTTTTCCCTATCTGTCCGCTGCTGGTAAAAGAGACGTTGAGCTTGGTAACAGAATGGTTGATTCGCTTTGTATTTTTCTCGAGGCTGTGCTGCCTCTGCGCATTCCAGTCGTCATTGAGAATCCTCGCCTGTCCAGGCTATGGCTTCATTCCAAAATAATTCGCTGGTGGAGCAAATTCTCTGCAGAATTCATCGTTTTTGACCAGTGTGGTTTTTGGGCCCGCTTGAGGAAACCCGCTGGTCTCCTGGCG